GCCAGAACGTAGCCAATAAGAGTGCATATGCTCACCTTGCTCCACGCCCAGTGGCCTTCAAGATCCAGAATTACAAGCAAATAAACAGCGGGATGACCACAGGGTTTTACGAGCGCTGTGACAGCATGTGGTTTCATAATTTACCACTGCACTGACCCTCCAAGGCGGTGGCTGGGTTTGTCAAGCACCCGAATATTAAAACATAAAAGTCAGCAGTAGTAAGGAAAAAGGAAGAACAGTGCAGTGGGGAAAATTTGCAAACAGCCTGGTGAAAGTCGCAACAAAACGAAATAGAGTAGTGCACACTTATTAAATTGGCGTTAGGGCAACGATATTGAAAAATCAGCTCCCCGAGAATGCACGCCAATTTTTGAACTGGACAGTGTATTGTATGACGAAACTGAACCATTGCAAGCTAGGTATACTCTGTTGATTCATGGTTGATTCCACTGGGCGACTCAATATGAGAATCCAGAAAGACTGATAAAAATCATGTTGATTTAATATTTCGTTCTCTATTCGGAACATTTTCAGGAACATCTTTAGATGGCTTTCATTAGTCTTTTGTTTTTCGTTCTGTTGAGTTATCTGAATATTATCAGTTGATCACCTACTGTACTGGTTTCCACTAGGCACGTGCTAGGCTAATTATACACATGTACATGTACTGTACAACTGTACAATCACAGTAAAAATTGTCCCGAAGACAGTGCTGAAATAATGAAGTCAATATGAACTGCTTTACCAAAATGTCTCCGGTGTTTTTCACGTGTACGGGCTGATTTTTTTGTGAGGGTTCCATGGCCCCGTTTTGTCCTAGCCTGCCCATTGTATTCCTGTATGATTTTAATGGGGCTGGATCTGCCTGTCGAGAAGACCCACTTGGCTGTTTCCTTGACAGAGAATGGACCTATAGACTGATCTTTATGATGACGTTTACACTCTGTGTACATGCACAGTACATTTGTGCTTTCTTATGGTGCTCAGTGGACTGTGCCCCCCACGGGAGCGAACTTTTGAGAGCGAATTTGCGTGTGGGGACTCGGAGTATTCAGTATTGTCGAGTCAAAAGTGGCTCAAAAACGGAAAAGAGGTGTGCGACAACGGAAAAGTGGGATGCGAGAAGGGAAAGGAGGGGGGGGGAAGAAAAAAGTGGGGCACGGGAGCGAATTGGCAGCGTGTGGAGCCTTCAGTTTTGTCAAGTCAAAAGCGGGGTGAGTAAAGGGAAAAGAGGGCTGTGTGAAGGGAAAAAAGGGATGCGAGAAGGGAAACGTTGGGTGCGAGAATGGAACAGTGGGGTGCGCGAGAAGGGAAAATCGCGAGAAGGGGAAAGTGTGTGGGAGAAGGCAAAAGTGGAGCGTGAGAACGGAAAAGTGGGATTCGGGCACGAATTTGTAGTGTCTTGAGTCTTGTTAAATTAAAAGCGGGGTGCGGGTGACAAAATCTCCACTGCCATTCGAAGAGAGCTTTCAGGCTATGGGTCTGTTTTTACCGCCACCTCTCAAAGTGTGTTGATTAAAATATGTCATGTTTAAGTAATGCCGGTGCTCTCTGGTTTCTGTCGCTAGCCTCATCATGGAATGAAAAGGGAAATTCTCCAACAGTATTGCACGACGTCGATGAGTTAGGTTACTGGGACCATTATGTTAAGCACATCAAACTCCCCCAGCCGTCCTCCTTGCTCACCCAGATTCGCCTCCAGATTGGGCCGTGTATCTTTGAGAAAGAAAAGATTGGTCATCCATACCTCTTTTGGGCTATGAAGTTTCACGCCATTAAGAACCTGCGAGTTGTTGATGCAAGTGAGGCCTATCAGACAGGTTTGCTCCCCGTTTCTTCTTAACTTGCAAAGTCTGCGCCCTCAAGCCTTTGTGTACTTTCCTCAAGTTACGCTCATCGTCAATGCCAAACAAAAGTCTTCCTTCCCCCCAATGTGCACTCTTGCCACTATGTTAGCGATTTCTTGTGAGTAGACTCCCTTTCTAAGAGTTCTGAAAGCCTTTGTCAGCCCGTGTTCTTCAAGATCGGGCTTCGCGGGATATCTGAACGAGCTTGAGTGTCACGGAGGATACAGCATGTATGCCTCCCGGTGCAATTCTGCCCGTTTTGCTCAGGCTGACCAGCTTCTCCTTTGTTTATTTATTTCTACCTCCTTGTCTTGAAGTTCATTATTATGACCTATGTGCACCTCATCATCTTCATCACTCACTTAAACTCTGATCGCACATTCGCCATCATACCTATCATCAACGGGAGGGAATCCTCCTATCACTAAGTATCAGAGACTGACCACACCGGCCTCTTACTCAAACAATTTGGCCGAATAATTTGTGTCTTTCTTCGTTCACACCACCCTCGCGATCTTGAAGTGGAGCTCCACAAAATAGAACGGCAAGAAATGCCTCAATGGACAAAGCTTTCCTGTAATTGCCAGATTTGATAATAAGGTTCAGAACATTAAGGTTTTGTTTAGCCAGAAACTTTTCGAAGGGACCCCAGCCCTTGTTTTTTTTTTCGTTTATCTTGTCCCAGAAAACGATGAACTTTCTCAGAGTCAATAAAAACTGTATCATTGACTCTGTTAGCCCCGACGTTCTCTTGCCAGAAAGGAAATGACAGCGCATGTTAGAACACTGGTTTCTGGTGTTGTCTACATGTACGTGTACACAATTTATTATACACGCAGTAGACCGCTACATAATTTGGCAATTTATTATACACGCAGTAGACCGCTACATAATTTGGCAAGTATGACCTGCAGATAGCTTTCCCAGACCGATAACATAATGCACATGCCCATTGCCCAACCACCGCTTTGAAAAGCTTGGAAGCTCAATCAGTGGTAAATCACAAATCAACATGCTGTCGCAGCGCTCATAGAACCCTGTGGTCAGCCACTGCTTATGCGCTTGTAATTCTCGAGCGGGAAGGCCAACGTGTGTGGAGCATGCAAGGTGAGCATCTGCACTCTTATTGGCTACGTTCTGGCAGTACACAAGCCATGGGCGCTGTTTCCTTATTGGTCCATTCTGGTTTGTACATGGCGATGGTCCTTGTACAATCAATTTAATGTTGCTTCTAATTGTCTAAACTTCCATTGGACAGAACAACAAATGAGTTGAGTTACGTAATCATAGAATATCTCGGCAACGCATCTTGTGAAAGATATGACATCCGAACTGAAATGTTATCCTGAAATTACATATTAACCACTGACCTTAATTTCCCAAATGTGCATGACACATCAAGGTGGCCTTCTCTTTTTGCTTTCTTCAAAATGACAGCTCGCCAGAGAAAATAATTTCACAGGAAATTTTGTCCCGGCGTAATCATCTTTAAACTATGTATGTTTTTCAACAGTGATTTCATCATTTACTCTTTGGATAAATAGAAATGATGGACTTATAATATAAGGGAGCTTTGGTTTTTGTCCGGTGGGGAGAAACTCTGACATGTACACCCATGCACAAGATACACGCACGGCAGCCGCAGCATACAGGCCACGCACCTTGCACATGTGTACACAGACACACGGCCATCACTCCACGGTCCATGATTTATCTGTGTCGGAACACGGTCGCTATCTGCGCCGTGCCGCGGTTAACTGCACGCAGCGCATGCAAAGCCTAATATTACCCTTCAGCAACCCTTGGGCCAAAGGGCACACGGCGTGAGGTTCAAGCGAATTGCACAAGCGTGAGCTTGGCGAGCGTTTCGCCTCGCCATGCCGGCCGTCAGGAGATTCTGGAGGACGAAGCGCCGGCTTCTCGCAGCACTCTGCGTTTTATCCACGATAATTGCTTTGTGCTCTCTCTTTCCGAGAATGGCGGATATCATCGGCCTGACCAGTCGCACTACAGTGGAATGGCGACGAATGACCGCTCCTCAGTGCAAGTTTGTGTGTAGCCGGTAAGTTGGCCTGCCGTTGTGTGCCGTTTCGGGGGCTTAGATTAGAGTGTCTTCCCCTTCTCTGTCCAACCCTTTCATTTATTACACCAGGGCAAGGGTTTCAAGTGTTGGGAGTGACAATGTCGTTCGTTCTACAGAGTTTCTGACCCATAGACTATAGCACTGAAGTGACAAAGTCAAGAATATATGAGGTGAAGCAGACGACATTTTGCATAAAAATAGATAGACCTTTATTATTCCGTGTATATGAATGCTGCTACACACAGTACACGCATACGTATTACCGTATCGCGTAGGTCATGGTCGCCCGACGGGCCGCACAAAGCACTTCACAGAAATTTAAGGCAATTTTTATCTGTACACTTAGCTTGCGCCAATTGGCTCAGAACAAACTCACTTAAAATGGTTGAAAGGACTATTTTACAGGGTTCGTGCAATTTGAGATAATCATTAGTAGCCTAACATGTATGAAAATGTCGACTCAGTAGGCCAAAGTTTAAAGCAGAAAAACTCACCTTCAAACTAAATACCTAGAAAAACTTCATAGGGGTGACTTTTGCTCCAAAAGATGTTCCCATGTATGGAGATAGATTTGTAGCAATAAAGAATGAAGATCATTGGATTTTTTTCATCCTAGCATGCTTTACTGCATACGTCAAATGATATTAAACGAAAACTTCAACAACTGCAAGCATGGAAGGATTGTTTGCGGGGGAGATAGAGTTATACCTGTACAGTTGAACAGGATCCATTTTCCAACCTCTATAGGTCTGTGGATGGTGTCTGCGTTCCACTAGATCTGGCCATCTTCGTCTACAAGAAAGACGTCCCGACGAAAAACATGACTTTTGACTTGCAAAACTTCAACCCCGTTGTCAGTATACCGCGGAAAAATAACGATACTGGAAAGATCGGAGTGCTTGAGGTAGAGCAGTGCAGCTTGGAGGAACACTTTCCCGGCGTAGAGCTCATCCCAAGGCAGGGCAGCTGCGCCGTGGTCGGCAACGGCGGCATCTTAAACAACAGCAGCTGCGGGGATTTCATAGACTCGCACGACTTTGTCATTCGCGCCAATATGGCAGAATTAAAACGCTTCGAAGTCGACGTTGGTCGCAAAACTAATCTAACTGTGTTCAACATGCAACTTTTAAACCAATATAGCCAGGCCATTTTTTACAGTCTGTTTCCCTGGCAACGCAGTGTTAGAGATCGATTCTTCGATCACATTCGTTCTTTGAATAAGTCGATAATCTGGTATCCGAAACTGCTGTTCCGAAACAGGAAAATGGAGAAAGCGGGAAGACAGTATCACACCATAATCGAAACTCTCAGGAAATTCGACTATTCGGACATTCGTTTCGCCTTCAGCTGGAAATCAATCAGTATAGAAAGGTAAGTATTATACATGTATACGGTGGCTCAGATTGGCCCTCACATCACAGCAGTGACTCTAAATGGACTGTCCCAAACTTTGAAGATGACACGTCAACATACAGTGTTGACAGAGCTTGCTGAACGGCTGTGAAATGATGTCAAGCGGTAATATCGATTTCACGCTATCAACGTGAGTTTAAGTGCCATCAAAATCTTTTTAGATCACTTTCGGTAGCTTCCATGGCTTCTCAGGGTCACAGGAACGTTTCACCCAATCAGACGGTCAGATCCCTTGGTTGCCTTTAACTTGACAACCCTCTTATTCCTGAGTGTACGCTGCAAAACCTGCTGTATAAATTTAACCGCCTCGGTACGGCATCCACTTCATGACATTACCAGTCCAGTGCTGTCTCATTTGGATGCCGAGTGCTTCAATTTAACACCAATTTAACACTACACTTTTTGCAATGAGTGAGGGATAACAATATACCTTGTTGCTATTCGCCCGGAGCCACCTTTGTTTTTAAGCATGCCTTCCGCTTCGATTGGTCTTACTTCGCATAGTAGGCTGATTCATTTCGGAGATAATTCGTCGGTGTAATTTAACCACCTGGTTGTTATCAGATGACTGTACCCAGTCAGATGTATAGTCCTCTGATAACACTGACCGTGTTAAATTACACCAATGTAACTCCACACTTATGTAGAGTTCTTCTCATGAAGTAGGCTACACGACAAAACCTGGAAAATCGATATTTTGTAGATCTTTATGCAGTTATTCCTGCCATTATACTATGATAAGAAGAATAATTATTTTGACAAAATTTCCGAGCAAAACGTTAATTTTTAATCATCGTAGACAAACAGTGAAAAAGGTTTTATTTGTGAATCAAATGTACCGCTTAATCAGGACAAATTTTCTTCAACTATGTGCTGATTAGCAATGAACAAAGCTAACATTTCATGACAACGCAAATTTGCCTAAATCCGTAAAGAGGTTTTTTTTTCAAATACAATTATTTTGGAATGTCTGTGTTGCAGGTGTTGGAGCTTTTTATCTCTTCGTTCAAATACTGTTGAATTCTCGTGATTTGGCTGCAGTTTTTGCTCCTTTGTCACCCTGCCAGACTTCTCGGTAAACTTTGTCCCTTTCAATTTCTTCTACTCGCAGAGCTTATCGTCTAAGCAAATACGGCACGCTAGGATTCGACTCATTCGCAGCCGCTCGGACGTTCTGCTCCAACATCACCCTTTTCGGCTTCTACCCGTTCTACAAAGATCTGGAGGGCCGAGACGTCAAGTACCATTACTACGACGCTACGACCTACAACTTTGGTGGGGAAAAGGAGAACCACGATTTTCACGTGGAATACAGAATGTTACAGGACCTCGAAAAACAAGGACAGCTCAAACTGGTAGTAAGAGACTGCAAGCCCAGGAACCAGACATTATTAGAGAAGAAATTTCACCGCAGTCTCCATTTAACGTAGCTTTTGTTTGGTTACGGAACAGGCAAGCACGACGTTTCCTGTATTTCGTTAAGTTCGACAACTGTCGAGCAAACATCTAAAGGAAGTCATAAACATCCAAATCACGAGCAGATGCCTGCCTATGACCCGATACAGTCTGGTGCATAGGCACTGCTTGCTGTCAGATGTTGTTTGAAGCATGTCGAGTGCAACATACTCACTCAGCGGGAATTTCTACTTTGGAATTGATATGAGGGTCCTTCTGTTAATCTCAATTTTAATCGGGAATCGATGAGATGCAACAGAATGACATGTAGTAAGCAAGTATCAGGAATGCATTGGATTATAATAGCAAGTCCAACTGAGACATAATATCTTGACTGCACCACTTTTGTGGACAGTATTGCCAAATGTCATGAAAATCGGGAACACCAAAGATGTGCACTGAGTTATACAGTAAATGTTTCGAAATGTTACATAAGGCACGTCGTGTTAGCAAGTACAGGAGTTTTATCCCATTGCAGAAGCAGAGACACTGATCTTTAATCATCTTGATTTATCACTGAAATTTGCACAATCATTTTATTCATACCAAGAGTTTGTGTGTATTTCAGCCTATCAGGTAACTGGACTTAGCAAACTTTGTGTTTGATTAGAAAAACACAGCTCATTGATAAACTTAACCCCAGCAGTCAGCACTTGGTCTTTAGTCGATTTTAAAAAAGCCTACTTTAATTTTTTTTTAATCTGATTTTTTAAATTAAAAAAGGCGTGATTTTTATCAACCCTGCATAGACTTGTGTGTAATTTCAAGCAGTAGTGGAGTGCATGGCATGTCGTTCGTACATTGCATATAATACATTCTGGGAGATATCGAAGTTGGAGACGGGACCGTGAATGGTCACGTTCATTAGCATGAAAATTTACTCGGATCTTGAATGAAAAACTTAATCTTGTTCACAAATGTCGATCTTGCATGAGAAAAATAATCTTGCATGAAAATTTGAGTCTTGCGTGAAATTCTGGTTTTTTTCCCCAAAACGTCGAGTCTTGCATGAGAAAACGTAATGAAAAATGTAATCATGCATGAAATGTTTAGCCTTGCATGACAGATATTAGTCTGGCATAAGTTTCATTGTGTATGAAAACATTGTGTATGCAACATAAATCAGTCTTGGATGATTATCTTTTTGTCTGGAACTTCAGTGAGGGTTTTAATTTAATTCCGTTTTAGCGTTTCACACTATATGCAGTCCGAATCCATATTTAAGGCAGACTGATTCCCGTCGCACACGTAGTCTCCAGACGTCTTACAGATCTCCTCCGAACGGGTAGCCGGTAATGAAGCCAGCAGATCCTGCTGAGTGTATGTAAATGAGCAAACGATGCCTGCTCAGTGAAATGAACAAATCGAACAGGAGCTGATAGCATATTTTGCTTTTTCTTCTTCATTACCGGAAAAACACTTCACCAGAAATTGCTTGTTTATCTAAAATTTAACATAATAACCACAGATTTGAAATAAATTGCCGTAAACTTGCCGATTTATCTATGAAAATCCTTGAAAAGTGTATTACCTCACTGTGATCGACAGAGGCGTACAAAGGATAGGTACTTATTCGCTTTTAACGTGATTTTTGTAACAAAAACTAAAAAAAAAAAGATTTTTAGCAGCCAAATTGACAAAGCTAATCGCGCACGTTAAACTGCAGCTAGGCCATTTTCCAATACTCAACTTCGTCTCCGTCTCAGACTTCGTTCCGAAAACCAAGAACCGATTGTGCCGGCCTGAAGCGTTTGAATTACATTGGATTACTGTAAGTTTTTGGTTTTCTTGCATCTTATTTGATGTTCTGTGGCACTGTTAGACTGATTACTGTGCTTACAGCTTCAGCCAGAGCGAAAAACAGTTGAAGCCTGGGACGAAGCCGAATTGAGTATTGGAAAACGGCCCTAGCTGCCGGTCCCCCCCCATGTGCAGTACAATTTTCAGGCTGTAATGCGGCGCTGGTACTAGTTTAGTCCATGCGTGTGAAATGTGGGGCCGGGGGCAGGCCGGGGAAGCACAATTTTTGCCGCAATTATCGTTCACGACACCATACACAGAAGGCAACAACTGTACTGTACATATGCTGTACACGTAGCCTACATGTACATGTATAATATTTGCTGCATGAATACTGATGCATTGTTTGTGAGGTGCAATCTACATGTACGTCCGTAAACGGTCTCGTACTTTCTGAATACATGCATGATGAATAAATTGTGTCCTAGCACCGTAAAGGCTTCACACAATGACTAGACAAGCGCGCGTACGCATCGGTCAAAGCATTGGTGCTTAAATTGCCCTTGCATTGAAAGTTTGTTGGCCTGATCGATGATGCGTGCGTCCGACCATAACAGGATTTGAGTACTGTACATGTACCCGTATAAGCGCACGTGCATCCGAATGCCGACTGTCGCTAGTTTTTGCCGAGTATGGCCGCCTTTTCTGTGCTGAGTTTCAGCGACAACCCCGTTTTCAAGCAGTATGCCACCTACGCAGCCGTGGTCACGCTGAAGATGATGTTCCTGTCGTATTTGACCGGAAGATACCGAATGTCTCGGAAGGTCAGGAGCATTCAGGTCTTAGTAATAACTCGCAATGGTCTGCCAGATCTCTAGTGCACTGAATTAATGCAGTAATGGTTCGGGCATTTGTATCCTTGCTCTATAGTCTACCACCATGCTCTATGCATATGAGGAAGGAAGTGCGTGTGTGCTTGCACCACGTGTCGAATTGGCCTAGGCGAGCCTTTCCGACGCTGCCACAGAATCATGCCAGTTAAAGCCATGCCATGGCGCTTTTTCATGTATACGTCCCCTTTCTACTAGGTCGATCATGGTCACATCTTCTGCGCCAACTGGTAGTTTTGCTGACAAAGCTGAGGCCAGTCATCAGCAAATTTAAAGGCAGATCAAAATCCACTGATTTTGTGTGGGGGGGGGTGTAGGGTTGAAATTATTTGTATTCAGTCTTTTTTCCTAGTGATTTATCAAAAAACTATGTTGCTCTTTCGGGGACCATGGTTCCTTGAATCTGAATGTGATCTTTAGTACATGGAGGCGGAAACATAATTCACAGGACGTGTTTGTAAAATCTTTACATACAAAGACTATAGAACCTTTTCCTGTGATATCACGATGGAGCTGGGCCTATGATGTGTTGTGGTGGTAATGAGTAGTTTTGTGAGAGTAATCTACCCATTCAAGATAAGCATAAGCACGTTGGCACGTGCGCTTGCACGTGGGTGAAGTTGTCCGTAGGAATATATGCGATCACCGTGGCCAAGGCGATCCACACGTGGTGGTATTGGTTACATTTAGTCACGTGGGTGAAAAAGGTCCATGGAGCAGTGTTGTATTCGAGTTCATCACAAGTCCTTTTACAAGGCCATTCAAAAGTAACAGGGTGAACAATGACAGAAGAATGCTTTTGTCAGAGCTCATTTGAATAGCTTGTAAATTGTCTGGAGACTGATTGATTTGTGATGGACGTCAAATATAACACTGCTCTTTAAACCTTTTTCACCTCCTGGACGTGTTGGCTTTTTTAATTGAAAGCACCAGCACTTTAGGCCTACGGTATGCTAGAACCTAGTTCATGGAATTTCACGGATTAATCAAGTTTCGGGAATAGTTTCGGGGAAATTTCCCAAGTTTGCCCCCACCTATCTCCGCCAGACCGTCGGATGCGGCATGTACCGATCCTCTGGCAGGAGCCATCTCACCCTGTCGATCGGTTTGCATCCTCTTCGCGAATGCGTTAGATCCCATGGATGCGTGCATATGTCCCCGTGCTGAAAATTCGCCAAAGGCACTTGTCCACTCCGGAGGATTCCAGCAGAGGATTTGCGTTGTGTTAGTATCGAGTGTAACGATCTTTCTCGACACCAATGCTGATTGCTTTATTCACCGGTCTCTGGAATTCATCTCCATCCAGGTTTTCATTAACCCGGAGGACGCTCGGGGTAAGATGGAGTTGGTGCGACGGGATGACGACGTTGAACGAGTTCGAAGGTAAGTATCGTAAATCAAGAACCTTCGAAGGAAAAAACTCACATGTGAATCTTATTAATCGATCAGTGACATAACTCCGGGCAAAAAAAACCCTACGTGATTTGGCTTCCTCCCCATTCTGCCGTTCACTCAGTCGGAAAATTGAAAACAGGGATCTTACTGGTTTATATGGAACGACAATACATTGAATGCCCTTGATGGACGTTTTCCTTCCCTGTACATCTGCTTGTCACACCCGGCGACACACCAGCAGTTGCAACTCAGTTTTGAACTGTAGGTTTGAAATCAGCAACCCAAATCAAACCCAAAGCACAAACCAAAACCCAATTCACACCAAGTTGTGGACCCCTCTTTCTCATCTTCCACTCCTTACAGATGTCACCGTAACGACGTGGAGAACATCCCGCCTTTTCTGGTCCTGGGCCTCCTGTACGTCCTGACCGGACCCAGCGCCTCCGCTGCAGCCTGGCACTTTCGGGTCTTCGTTGCATCTCGTTTCTTCCACACTGTGGCCTACCTGACGCCCCTGCCGCAACCATCTCGCTTTCTCGGGTTCCTGGTAGGCGCTGTCACCAACATCTCCATGGCAGTGCAGGTGATTATGAGCGGACAGCTGTAGCATTGGATTGTCATGTCAGAATGCGTCAAAATCGTGAGCAGACTGCAGACGAAGATCTCCATCGACTACAGCCTTCTAGAGATTTACCATTCGTACGATGACCTTAAAGGACTTTTCAGACTTGATTTTTTTCAGATGTCTATCTTCTCTTGCAGCATTCAGTAACACCAATTATCTTTTCAACATAATTGCTTTTGCGATCGTTTCTTTGTTACACTTAAAAATATTTGGTTCCATTACCGTGATTTCTTGCGATGCATTTAAAGACATTGGGATATTAAAGATTTGACGTTCAGTGAAACTATGAACGAGGTGTGATTTTCTTTTGGGAGCCAATATTAGTCCTGATGGCACATGACAGTGGGGATGAGGGGTATTGTATGGAGTCAAGCATGATCAACAGGGTCAGTCTCAAATGCAGATGATCGAATAATCTTTTCCCGACTAGTCGTGAATACTTTCGCTATGTCGTACATTTTTTTCACCCGTCTAGTCGCGAATATTTTTCCATTGGCTTGTAAAACAAACGGCTTATGCATAATGATAAGCGCTGGCCTGGCCTTGAGCATTCGGCATGTACAACGGTACAGTGACAATGCGTGTGTAGACCTACTAGGGTACAGTCCACGAATTCAAGCCCCATTGAAACCAGTGTAAAATCAGCACTGTTCAGGGCCCAATAACATGCACGCCAACATCCCTGAGATTTCTGAAACACTGATGAAATTCTTGTCTGGTCACTTATCTTTCAATTTTTTTTCAATTTTTTGTGGGTTAACCAATCACACTTTTAATTATTCCCACAAGACAAAATCACCCCATCTTGAAAACAGTTCGCGGTACCCGCTGCTTCATTTGACTCGGACTGGCCAG